CGCTTGATGAATAGAAAACGACTCCTGAGTCTCCTCTCTCCCTTGGCTACGTTCAGTGCGGGGGAGAAGAAACGGTGGGGAAAGGAAAACGGAGGAGAAATGTTGACGGTACTCGAGGTCAGAGATGAACGTCGAGAACCTCTTCTCCACCATTCTTCACCTCCCCTTCCGCACGGGGAGCTGACTGACGAAAACGAAGCAGAGATCATCTCTTCCTCACCATCCGGCGCATCAGAGGGAACGGAATCCTCTCAAAGGATCAAATCAACGCCACTTATCTCTCGATGTATTTCGAGGCCTCACCGTCGCGGTACGTAGCTAAGAAATTAAATTTACAGTTCAATTTAGCTTTGTTTCAACATCTGATGGTGTTGACTTTTGATCTCGCTTGCAAGTTAGAATTTACCAGCAATTTTCCTGCTATGGCTGTATGAATTATTGAGTTATAATTTTGAAAGGAAGTATGTATAGTGGAAGTTATGGCATCAGAAGTTCATTTAATGAAGCACTTGTGATTTGTGAATGCAAAATTCTGGCTCTTAATTGTCCTTATCTTTCCTTTTCTTCTTACAGTTGATGATTTTGGTTAATGATACTGGTGGAGCTTTTCCATCTATCAATCACTCTCCGTGGTTCGGTGTGACAATAGCAGATTTTGTAATGCCATTTTTTCTTTTTGGTGTTGGTGTCTCTATTAGTCTTGTGCTCAAGGTATGGAATGTTTTCATAATGTTGGTACTCGGCTTATTTATTTATTTACTTTTTGCAATTCTTATCTCTTTAGCAATCTAGGAATTTTATGTTTGCTTTTGTATAATGTTGAATTACTTCAGTTTTGGTTCTCATAAATGGACTAGGGGAAGCTTTTTAGGTATTGAGTTCTATTTAACTAAAAACATAAGAACTGATGGGTGATGGCATGAATATTACTTTGCAGAAACATTTGTATAGGTGTGAGTATGTATTATATGTTTATATTATATTTGAAAGGACATACTCTTTAGAGGCAAGTCAAATTAATTACTAATGGCCATGATTTGTGTTACACTGCAGAAAGCTTCTAGCAAACTGATGGCAACGAAGAAAGTTGTACTGAGGGCAATCAAACTCTTTCTATCGGGCTTGTTGCTACAAGGTTACCAATTTTCCTTTGCCGTTATCTTAAAAAGTGCTATTAATTTCCTTCTGACCAGCCTAGATTTGAGTGTCAAAGGTTTATCTGTTTTAGATTTTCTTAATAAGCAGTTTTCTAGGTTTTTAATACAGTAAATTCAAACATTTAGCTGCAATGGAATCATATTGTCTTGGAAGCTTAAGTTAATACATTTTCATTTTGTTTTAGAGTGAATGCAAATTCTCATCTATGTACTTTATGGATGCATGTTGATTGGTTATTGTTGCGAGAGGCAATCACACGTACTTTAACTTACTAAAGCTGCAATCATTTACAGGTGGAATTGTGCTTTTTAATCTTTTGTAATGTACTCTCAGGTGGGCATTTCCATGGCTGTAACAACTTAACATATGCAGTTGATGTGGACCAAATACAGTGGCTAGGTGTACTACAGGTAATATCTTTTACATTGTAATATCGGTGATGTAGTGTGGATATTTCTCTTTACTTCTTTTCTCATTTATTTTAATCATACTGTCCACCAGACTATCTCTGTTGCTTAGGTCCTTCTGTCTTCTTATTGTCCTGCGTTTGACTGACTAATGACCATGCAATGTTTCCTGAGTGCTACTTCTCAAAAAGCTTGTCATGTGTGCTAGCATGCACGTGTACATTGGCTTAATTTGCAACACTTAATGTAGCAGCTATGCAAATTGTTGACCAAATGCAAATTGCTTACTCCTAAAAATATCAGTTCTTTTATTATTATTATTATTATTTTTTTTTTATTGTTGACAAATTTAGGACTCTTTCAACTGAAAAGTGTTGTCCCCTCTGGTTGTATTAGATGCATGAATATTGAGTTTCCATAGGTTTATAAGCTGGTTTTAACCATTCAAGCTGTGCTTTACGATCTACAAAGGATATCAATTGGATATCTACTGACTTCAGTATCAGAAATCCGGCTTGTTAACAATATCATGGTTGACTCTGCAGCAGCACTTGTGAGGAAATACTATGTTCATTGGTTGGTTCTGTAAAGTAAGATTTTAAAGTTACTTGAATGCTTTGAAGTATTATTTGCTTTCTTTTGAAAATTTTAAACCTTTGAATTGAAGTTAATTGTTAATTTGAATAAAAGCAATAATTTTTTCTCATAATGCTTCACTCTCTCTAAATCATGATTTAAACCATAGTCTTTCTCTGTGTATATTTTTATGTGTATCAGAGGGAGTTAACTTTCAATTGCATGTTGATAAATCTATAAACTATAGAGACAGCTGAACCAGATATTTCCTTTTCCTCTAATCATTGACTTAATTAGAGAACATGGGTTATATTACTTTTCATTTAATTAAGAAAATTCGGTAATGGCGTGGCACCCTAGTATGAATAATTTTCAGAGATCTACTTCCCACTCTAGATTTTTGAGAGCATTTAGATAAGCTTTGTTCCCCTTTTTTATGTTTTCAAGTGTTTGCTTTTTCTTTGGCGTGCAGGATTTTCGCTCTCCTACTATTAACATTTTACATGTGCTTGCTGTATGGTCTTTATGTTCCAAACTGGGAATTTCAATCTCCGAGTATGAATGTGTCAGTTTATGGATCTGATACTCAAATTGTGAGTGTAGACCGTATTTATTTAGGGGCTTCAAGTTTCAATATTTTGTGAGTCTGGATTGTTACTGCTCCCGACTTTTTGAGAAGACTGATAGTCTTATCATGTGTTCGGTGTGCTGTGGAGTCAGGGGGAGTCCTGAACCTCCTTGCAATGCAGTTGGTTAGATTGATCGTTATTTCCTATTGGTGAGCAACATCTATATCAGCGTCCCGTGTACAGAAGGACAAAGGTATTTTCTTTGTCTCCTCTATTCCCTTATAGGTCTGCAGTGGCTTTCTCGAACAGATCATGTTAATCACAAAGGGATATTCACCTTTTTGTGACCACAGGAATGCAGTGTTAATTCTCCTGACTATGGTGCCCTACCATTAGATTCACCAGTGTGGTGCCTTGCTCCTTTTGACCCTGAGGGCATCTTAAGGTTAGATGAAACAATTGGTTTTCTTAATTTGGCACTTTGGATAAAGATGTACTGATTGACACACAAACAGCGCACAGCATGCATCTGTAAGGACTTCTTCATCATTTGAATGAATGAGGCGCTGAAGAGCTGGTAGAGCTGGCTTTGTCTGCTCATCAAATTTCAGAAGCACTACCTATCAGCAACTGACATAGAAAACAATTAAAAAGAATTCTACCAATTCTATTTGGTTATCCCAAAAAAACGAAACCAGCTCAAATGCAGGTTGTGGCTTGCCCCTGCAGAAGTTTGACGAAGTCCAGGTTGCATTTCTCAACATTGAGAGCTTGGCATGTTCATTGAATTGTGCGAGCAACGGTTGCAAGGCCCTATGGCTAAGTACAAGATCACGACATTTAGGAGAGTCTCTAGCAACATTTCCTAGTGCCCACACAGCCTACAATTGAAAAAAAAGGAATGATTAATTCACCAATACAATAATAATATCAAGGCATAAAGAGAAGCAGTAGGCCACTAACAGATTGCAATCTTGCGTGTTCACGCACATCATCAGTTGGAGAACCTAGAAGTTTAACAAAAATGGGAACAGCTCCATGATCAATGACAACCCTAGTGTCTTCAGATGTCCCCGACGCAATATTTGTAAGGGCCCAGGCAGCCTCAAACTAAATTATACCCAAAAATAATACAAAGGGAAAAAACAGACAGAAAGATGAATCAATCAAAATAATGCAAACACATCAAAGATGAAACAAATTAACTAGTGACGAGTCAAACCTGAAGCTGTGGAAAATCATCCCTTGCAAGGAACTCGACAAAGCGAGGAACAACACCAGATTGTACTACTTCATTAATAGGCGGACTGCGTTCTGCATACAGACTCCAAGTTAGAAGTTAATACTGTACTTGTGAGCAGAATAAGTAGAACGTAATAAGAACAGACGCTCAACCTATTGACAGCAGCTTCCGGAATTGAGTAGTTGCCTCAAGCTGTGCGTTACCATCATCGGACCAAACACCCGCAACCATAGCCGGAAGACTTTCTAACTGCAATTGTTCCAGCAATACATTATTCATAATTGGTTTCATAAGATAAGACTACCCATTGCTAAAATCAATATACTAAGCTACCAGAATCAATATCCAATCAAGAAAATGCCCATTAACTAAAAGGGAAGAATATATATACGAATTCAGTAATGATAAACCCTAATCATCACTCATGATCCCACCGATTAAATTGACAAACAAGCTACTTCAAAAGCCAAATAAACCAAGAACCTAGCAATAAAACAGATCATTATCAAACAAGAATAGAATACCTTCTTATCGGACGCAGATGTGGCGGAGAGGAGTTGCTGTTGCTGGTTTTGCTGAGCAAGAAGGCCTTCGCGACGCTTCTTGAGCAAGCTCTCCTCTCTCTTGTTCTTCCGGATCTCCACCATGTTGTCCTCCCTTCTCCTCCGACCTTCTTCCGCATCCACCGCCACCTTGTACCTGTTCCTCCGGACCTCAGTCCTCGCGCTTGGTCTCAGAGACATAACTACCCTTCGCCTTCGTCTCTTCTTCAATCAAAATCAAATCAGATCAGATTGATCACCGAGCAAGGAGCCGACGGACTCAATAGCAGTGATCGGCGGTTGAAAGAGAGCGACGCCGGTAAAGAGAGAGGGAAGAGGAAGAGGTATTTTGGAGTGTTTTTGGATTTAAAGTGGACGGAGAGAAATGGGGGGCCGAGGACGGTAATCCTGTTATAGAGAGAGGGGTTTATTTAAATGTTTATTGATTTAACGTTTCAAAAATGGGCTCGAGTGAGGTCTTAATTACGAGAACACCACTGTTTTTGAATTTGAAAGTTGGGGAACCTTAACGTACCTTCCTGACTCCTCCGCGGCTCCGCCGTTATGAACTCCAGCTCACGAATGGACAAGGAATACTACTTTTTTAAAAGCAACAAGAAAAATGATCTCGACTACTTTAATAATCCAATATTTTTATAAAAAAAT